GTAGTTTGGTTTTTAAAAAATTAAAAAAAAAAAAAAAAAAAAAAAAAGACCCAAAGAAGAGCCAAACTTCAGGAACAGAAGTCTAAGAACATGTTCTATGAAATGGGGTTTTAAATAAAGCACAAGCATGCCAGGGTAGACCAGGCATGTATCACAGCCCTAGACAGACACATCCTCAAACATTCATTCAAACATTCCTTTCCTCTTTCACATATCCCACTCACTGGCTGGAATTCAAGGGGTCAGCAAACCAGAAGAAAAAGTGTTGTGAAATATAACAGCTTAAATCTTAAAAACAGATTAGCATTTTGTACATTTGCTTTACAACAGCTAGTTAACTGTCACAAGTCCTAGAAAAATGTAGCTTTGAGTCTTTGATGGGTTTCAGTGACATGGAGTCAGCTGATAACTTAAAAAGTGTTCAGAATATAAATTGAAACGTGTAAATCTTTCCTACGTATTTTTTTGTTGATTGCTGTTTTCATAGATGAACATACAGTAACTTTTAAAGATGCATATGGAAATAGCAAAACAAAAACAAAAAAAAAACCAAAAAAAAAAAAAAGAGAGAGAAGAAAACATACTTCTCTACCATGGTACCAATGTTCCTGCAAGCTTCTTCAGCAGCCTCTCTGAATGCAAAGTCAGGATGGGCAATTCTCACAAAATCAGCCTGACATAGAAGAAAACAGTGAGGCAAAGAGACAAATAAAAAAATCTTGAATTATAAACAAAGCTGTACTCAAGTAGTTCCATTTACATTAACATTTATTTCTACAGTTTTGTGCAATCTATTTGCAGAATTTGCATTTTTTTTCTAAAAAATAAAGCTTATTGGAAAACTGTGCTTACAACTATTAAACCAGACCGTGAATGTATCTTTCCAAAAAATATCTTTAATCCATACACTTCTTAAAAACATTTTTAGTATGGTTTGTATCTTAGAGTCCTTACAACGTAGAGATACTCCAATGTATTTAAATGTTATTACGAAAGATTTTTAAAACTAAAATTCACAGTTAAGAAGAAAGCACACCACCAAATATGTGTAGAGGGTTTGTTTTCAAACCCTTTTTACTCTTGTGTATAGACTACCAAGTTATGCTTTGACATCATTACCTAGAAGGAAGAAATATGTTTAAAGAGAAAACCCAGAAGTTCTTTTGGATTCAGAACAGGGTTTTTATTTGACTTACTGATTTTTAGTAAGTCTCCAAATACTTAAAGGAGTTCAGAAGACTAGAAGGATGCTAAAAGGGGGCTGGGTAGCTAGGTGCTTCCATGACTGCCAACATGAATTCAGGAAGGTTCTGGCATTGAAATGACAAAGAATTAAAGACTAGAAATATATTTAATTGAAGATTAGGAATACATCAAAGACATTCAGCATGATTTTACAGAAAGTACATAAAACAAGCTTGACTTTGTTGAACAGTATGATTGCAGTTTGATTGAAAAGGCAACCTTACAAGTGTTATACACTTAAGATTTTTACTTCTTAGAATCCCTGTTTAAAATCCTGTGTAATATTGACAGAATATGTGCTGAATGGCAGATCTCAAAATTCCTGCCAACAGATAACTATCACCAAATTGCTTCTAGACAGAGCTCTGCAAGCTCTGCATCTTTGAACATATAAACCTTAAAGTTGTACATAGGAGGTAATTTTAACTTGGCAAACTGATACAAAACTATGACCATTGAATTCTGACATTAGTGTTTTAGTTAGATATTGATTGATTAAGAGGGATTAGGCATAGTCTATATAAAATATAAGAGATAAAAGGAGAATTAGTGACTTGACAGAGCATATAAGTACTTTCAGGCGGAAAAAGTGCCTGGCACAAAAGATGCCTTGAATCTAGAAAAGAATAAGAAACAAGATTTGAGAACTGAAAACACACAGAGAAATTCAAATGTGAAAACCAAAGTAAAAAAATTCAGTGACCTATTTATTAAGAATTGATTTCAGTATGAAGGTTGGGTCTGCTTCCTTCAAATGAAGAGTGATGCTTTGATAAAAGATATACTTCGGGTAAACAGTTTCCAGAGACCAATACGAAGTGCTACGTTAAACTTAGCATTTTGCGATACAGAATATCAGACCAAGTACTCTAATTCTGTGGACCACAGAAACTGCAATCTAAGAAATACCTGCATTTTTTCTTGTGTTAATAAAAGGCGATATTGTTTAGTTTCATCTGCTGCTTTTAATCTGTAAGTTCTTTATGGATCTTCACCTATAAACTTTCATAACTTAAAAACATGTATATTGCAATACCAGCTTTAACTTTGAGAGCAATCCCCTGTTTTCCATAACGTAAATGACGCTGGAAAGCTTATGTATTAAGATTACAGCAGAAATACAATTCTGATTGCACTGTTATTTTTTTTGTTGTGGCCTTTGTACTATTTTTACATCTGTCTTAAAATTAACTGGACAGTTTGACAAGGATTTGTAGTTACCTATCATTCAGTAAAAGCCTTTGTAATTAACTTCCAATGAATTTTATTTTCTGTCTTAACACAAAATTTCACAGAGCTGATCTGTTATTTACTGCAGTGCAAATAATCATAAAATGGAACAACATGGTGTAAGCTTATTAAGTCAGTCAGTTTAAAAGAAAATGCTTCAAGAAATAATAAAAAAAGTAACTCACTAAGTCTGCTACTCTGCACAAGCCATCTGAAAGCTGATCAAAGATCATTACGGTCTCTGGCCCAGGTGGTGTTGAACAGGCCTTCTGGACTAGCTGTTCCGATTCTTGCAATGCTTTGTCCTGTGCTTGTTGAAATCCTTCTGGACAGCTCAGTTCTGGAACACCAAACAGACCCTGCAATGCAGAACACAATGAAAACACATCACTTATTAACCTCCTCGATTTCTGCCCTTTTGTTTTAGGATGGAATTATCACCACGAAATTTTACCAAAATGTTCCTAGCTGGCGTATTGTGCCACTTCACTAAAACGTTCCCACATGAGTGTGTTTGTAGAGAGAATAGTCACAAAATCAAAGACACTGGTATCACACGAAAACATCTTCATTTCCCAGAGCAAAACCTCATTGAGGTTCTTTTAGCCAGGATTGTTCTCAGCAAACGTTAAGAGTTCGGCATCAAATCCTCACAAACTCTCGTCTTCCACCCCATAACCTCCTATACCATCCTTTCCTCAAAGCATTTTTTATCTTGCTTCCAAAGCATGGGCACCAGACAAATCATAGGAAGTCCATTTACATTCTGAAATGAGGGAAAACAATCCCTCTGAAGCAAAAGAGACTTACCAAGGAATGTGAGGACTAAGCAGGAGTGTCAAAACACTGAATGAGTTGGCCAGCAGCCCGAGGTATCAACGGATTGCAGGCAATAGGAGAGTTGTCTCAGGCTCATTAAATGAACTCCAAATACCGGAACCAGATCTCAAACTCAAAAATGTTATGGTATGAACAGTTTTATTCCTGAAGTTCTTACCAAGCCTGGCCCTGTCCAACAGGGCAGGGTGAACACACTGACTTGGGCAGGGTAGACACAGACAGCAGGTACGTTCTGCATTTGTGGAAGAGAGTTAAAGAGGTCCTACTGCAGATCAAACAAAATTGCTAACACTACCTGCTAGAGAAGTTCCACGATACAGACCCACAACAGTAAAAAAGTTTCATTAAAGATAAAACAGCATCTCTGCAAACAATACACTCCCTTTGCAACTGCCCAACTGTAACATGAGTGTCTCCTTACCTCCTAACTACAGCATCTAACAGTACAAGGTACGTGATTTCAAACAACGTCCATGCCTTCCCAAATTTAACCTCAGCATCTAAAAATCACAATCTGGATTTGAAAATCTGCAGGCCAGTGACTTACAATGCACCTTCTGCAAACTCTTTGTGTTACAGCTGCCAGTTGCAGGTTCTCGCATGTAGCTTACAAGTATTTATCCAAAATAAAATGAAAAGCTGTAATGTGACAGCTTGTCTGTAAAAGTATATATTCTGAAGCAAAAGCATCCCCTAAAGTAAGTATTTGGGACATTCAGAGTTGCTTTTTCCTATTTTGATTCTGTCGCTGTTGCTAAAACTGCCTTTTTTTTTCCTAATGCTCTTACTATAAGCTGACCACCCTGACAGAAACCCTTTCCTCACACTTCCCATGTTTTAATTTATTATTTGGGAAGAGGAACTGGACTGAAACGAACACTGAAAAAGATATTTTTATGTATATACATGTGTATATAAATACGTGCACACAAACGTAAAGATACATGTACCACACCACCCTTCAATAATGCTTGCTGTATAACAGACTCAAGACTGTCCCTTCACTCAGATCCCCAGCCAGCTGATGCAGTGTCCTGCAATGTCCCAGAGAGCTCCTGGCCCTCCTGCTGCCCTACATCACCGTTCACCTTCCGAAGTGAGCTCTTCCTGCACAGGTAGTCCTCTGTGAACAGGACGTATCTTCTCTTAAAGATAAATTTGCCATGGAGCTCCTCTTCCATATGACACCAAGTTTGACACAAAAATTTAAAAATTACAAAAAAATGAAGCCTGGTGCAGGTCTCCATGTTCTTTAATGGCATGGTTGCACAGCTGCAGCATTATTCTCTTCGCTTGGCCTTAGCATTTACACCCTACCTGTCACAGCCTCTTTGCAAGCCTGAAATATGCATCTCTATTCCCAAAGAACTCTACATCCTCTCCATGGGCCAAGCGAATCCAGAATTCATCCCCTAGACCAAGCAAATGCACAATATTTAACTGGATTATTTCCTGGAGCAAGACTTACACCAGTGTGCTTGCAGAGGCAGGAGAGCCAGAAGAAAAGTTTCCCAAACAGTGGTGGCTTATAACAGAGGTCAGATTTGTTCTCACTGAATCCCTTAGTCCCAGAGTTCAACAGGTTCACCAGCCTGGGCACCATGGCAGGAATAACTGAGTCAGCAGACTAACACCTGGATTTTACAGGTTAAGTATTCTGCGCGCACTGCGCCATTGAAAGTACACATCTTACGCTGTCTAGGAACTTGTTTAGATTCCCAGGACCCTCATTAACACACGTACCCGACCCACCCTAAAAAGGAATAAATCAAAAAGCCCGAGTGTCACCAACCCAGCGAACAAATGCTTTTTTGCCACAAGCAACTGAACGTCAAGAATGATATCCACGCAAGAGGATGTCAGCGGTCTCATTGATTTTGAAGCACTGCCAAAGCGCATTGCCATGACACTGCCAAATTAAAAAAGACACAGCCAGGTAGAGCTGGGAGCAGAAGGGGTAATGCATATGTATACACATATGGTCTCTACTGAGGCTCTAAGCAAATGTTTCAATAAACAAGGCCCTGATTTTCAAACTCTTGTGTGTCCAGAAGACAGAATGTTTTGGTTCATTAGAACCAAACGGTTCATTAGAACCGAAACAAACCCTTACAAAGATGTAACCGCCCAACCCTCTGGTAACTGCCCGGCTGTCCTCGCCACCGCGATTTAAACTTTTAAAATAAAAAACTGCACACAAGAAAAGCAAAGC